CAGGAAAAATAAATACAAGAAAAGAACGTGAAATGCACTAATAGCGAATAACGAATGAAGAATAAACAAATACCAAGTGAACAAGTAACGAGTAAAATTGAATTTCATATTTCCTGATCAAAGCGATAATTTGTCTTCAGTCAAACTAATTATAACATTACCAAGGTTAACTATGTATATGCAGGTTTGGACACATTTTGTTTAGAGTAAAACAACAAATAACCATTTGAAATAATTAAATTTTAATTTTAGTTTAAATAAGCGACTTTCAAATAATTTTTATTTGAAATAACAATTAATTCGTTGAAATAAATTAACAAATAACTTGCTACGAGAGATTGTTAAACTAAATTAATTATTAAACTATTAAACTATTAAACTATTATTAAGTATTAAACTTAGAATTCGCAATATTTTATGATGCAACTTAAGTGCATTTGCACTTAAAGTTGTTTTTACTATATTTACCTTTGAATAATATGTTTCTAAGCTTGTATTGCTGACGTAGGTAACGTTGTTGATATAACAGAGTTAGAAAATACTTGAAAAATTATTCGAATAAATATTTAACGAAATACAAAATAAAGCAACGCGTTAATTCGTTTGAGCGTTATTTCAAATTAGGAAATAATACGATGTAAAATCATCGATTAAGATAAATTAACGAGCGATTATTTCAAACAACATTTAACTAAGAAAATATATTATTTCGATGAAATAGAAAATAGTATATTTCGATAATGGCCAAGACTGGACTTATACATCGAATCGTTCCTATGCCTCCAACTTTTGGGGCTCACAGTTCGTTATAACTGGTTCATCCAAGTTTGCTTATTGTTGGGCCCCACTGTTAACCACAGAATGGGTTGCAAAGGTTCGTTCTTTTCTTCGCACGACAATGTTTTTCTATTCAATTTTTTTTTTTATTCCAAGAGACGTAACCAGCATTGGCCGTTACTTAAATAAAATGGTCCAAGAACGTTTATTTAAACGATATTTCATCTGGTTTCGCTTGAAATTATTTTTAGATAGTCGTGCATTAGTTTATCCGAACAAAATACTTTTTAGGAATTATTTCTTTAAGCACTAATCGAGTCAAATGATTTTTTAATAATTTGATTATTTTATTATTTTATATTACATTTACAAATAGCAAAGAATTTTTTCATCGAATTATATCAACTCTTTTCAATAGCACTCGATTATGACCGTCAAATATAGAGATTTCCTCACGGTTTACACATTCATGTTATACTTATCGAAGAGTAAGCGAACTAATTGAAACGAGGACAAACGTGAGAGTAAATACTAGTATATCGTAAAATATGACATTCAGAATTCCAAACTTTACTCATTGAAAATATCTGAAAATGCTTTATTTACTCTTGATTTAAAATAATACTACTTCTTATAAAGTTATTTTTCAAATAAAAATGACAAATTATTTGGAACGATTCAGTAACCAAGTTTGGACGTTTAGTTTCTATAGTTTATTCAAAAGTAAAACACTCTAACACTACTGGTCTATGCGTACTCTAAATCATTATTTTTATTTGCTCTACGTGCGTAAAATTATATGTTAATAATAAGAGCAATATCAATTTTCACTGTAATATGTATGATGTTTGCAATTAAAAGCACACAGAAATTCTTTTTTGTTTAAATTTACTTTATTATTAACGACAAACACGCTGAATTTGTTAAATCTGCTCAATTTCTTGTTTGCATTTCCAAAATGGAGCAAGCAACACGCCGATGTCGCTCATGTGTAGACAATTGTTGACCAATGTTTAATTAAAGAATAATTAACTACAATTCTATCACATTCCCTTGATTTAGTAATAGAGTATACTTTTTCTGGCATCGCAAGATGAAAATGTTTGTGAAAGGTTTCACGTAGCAGTGACTAGGCATTTAAGTATCATTTCGCAAGAGCTGTTTTTCTCAGCTATTTACAGATTTATGGAGTCATACGAAACGTATATAGAATAGAGAAGAAATTATCCTGGAAATCGAAAATTCAATTTTTGTTTCTTTTCAAACTCTAGGTTCCTGACTTTTCAAACATTTGAAGAATTATCTAAACAAAATCGTTTATGGAGTTTCGTGATTTATATATATTTCTTTTCTCTATATATACAAAGTGATCAATTTCAATCGATAAATGCGAATTGCTAGTAAACTATTCGTTGCATTAAAAAATAGTTCAAAGAAAAATCAAATGATATGGTATAATTAACTTTCTCTTCGTGGACGGGTCAGCTCCGGTTTTTTAAATGGAATCGTATAATTTTTAATGCATATATACTTTCTACATGATATATTTTAAAATCAAAAAATATATAATTCGACGTTTGGGATGTAAACGTTTCCTAAATAAATAGAGATTAAACCATCTTTATCTTTAAATATGATTTTGGGATTATTCTACAATTTCTTTCTATGACTTTGTTCAACTATTCTTGAGTAACGATCACTCTTCAGATATGGCAAATACGTTATTATAACGCAACACCATAAATTCCTTTAGTAACTAGAGATTGCGTATATCGGCACTCGTACCTTTCAAAAATGTCTGTTTCAATCATTTTCACTTTATCGTAGTTTTACCAACTGATCGTTCTAAAGTACATCATTTAAACCGATAAGTCGATATTTTTATGACTCGTATAACAAAATTAGTAAATAAAAAAAATAATACATATGATGTTAAAAAGAAGATAAATTTATTTTTATATCATTTTTAACCCTTTGCACTAGAGCGATGAGTCTCAGTCACCGTTTGTCTAATACTTAGAAAGTTAAGTAACGAAAATGAGGCAATAACTAGATTAGAAGTAACTACGTATGAAATTACGTGTATACATTCATTACTACGTATGAATATTAAAATTTATAGCAAGAACGCTTTATATATTTTTCATTCTCTTTATTCATGAAAGTACGTTCGTGAAATCAGGTGTGTAGTGATAGTATAAAATATATATATATGTGCGTAACTTATTACTAAACCGATGTGGCATTACTGTTGGGCCTCGGTTCTGGGACTAGACTGACTGACCCGAGAAAGGCCCTCTATAACCAACGACTCTAGCCTAAGAGAAAACCTATGCGAGTATTTCCAGATGTCCAGAATAGAAGTTAAAGCTTGTACCACCACATCGTTGATTCTAACAGAAATGAAATATACGCGATTTTCTTTTTTTATTTTGACATAAATGCTATTATCGAGCTTAGAAAAGTATAAGAAAAATTTCGAATTGTTATATCTTTATGGCGAAAAAATCTTCGAGTGTAAAAGGTTAAACGTTGACACGAGAAATTTCTTTTTCCTTTTTTAGGAAAATTTAATTTCACCTATTTCTCTGTAGAAAATGGAAGAAAATTAATATTTTATTTTTCGCGAAGATATAAGTTTCGTTAATACGTTCGAAGATTTTTATAGTCACAGACAATAAATTCACATGCAACGATCTACAAATCCTATATTTATCGTGTGATTTCGTAATTATTATCTCACTTACATATTTTCAAAAATTGTGTCTTATGTTAGGTAGAGTAGAGTATTATTTTGGAAATTTAAGTTTAACGGGTACATTTCATTTATTTACCAGTTGGTAAGCCTTGGAACGCGAATACCTGAATATTTTTGTGATTAAATAAATTTTTGTCACTGTGTCGGTTTTCTACAAGTGGAATAAGTTTCGAAGAAAAAAAGAGAAAACGTGTGTCGATTTCGGTCGCTAAAATATAAATAGCTTTAAATTTATCGAATTTTTTTAGACATACTTATTAATATACCTTATCTGTTTTTAGCGATATTTAAATAATAATTTGTCAATAACGCGAGTAAATAAATTCAAAAATGAGATCGATTGCGATATCGGGTGTAATATACGTACAAATAGAATATATATTATACGGTATACAATCAGTATATGTTTATTTTAGATGCAAATCTGAAAGATAACGAAGATAGTTGGTCTTCTGAAAATTCGATTGTAAAGACAGTTAATCCTGATTCAACGCGTAATAATTAATTAAAGCTACGATATCGAGTACTTGATATCAAGATCAGTTAATAATTATTAGAATTCGATTTATTAATTTTTCCTTAAAAATTATTCGATTTTATAAGAAATGCACTATTCGTAAGCAGAAAAAATGTATAAAAAATAAAAAAATTACTTATTTTAAACATATAAAAAAAGACAAAATATTTGCTGTTAACACATGTACGATAAAAAATAAGATTTTGGCAGCGACGATCATAATCGAAGATTAGTATAAATTCTACAGATAATTACAAACTATGATTTCCATTTATCGGCGCGTCTAATTAATTTTGTTATTATCATGTAATTTTATACTTATTAGAGCGAAACAGATTTAGAAAGCAGATCATTTCGATCGTTAATCATATCTAAAAGTTGTTTGTTCTATTAAAAATTGATATCGCAAATATTTGCCGTTAGAAAAGAATTTGTAAAAGATAAATGACAATGTATATTTTGAACGATATATAACATTTTCTAATCGATCTGATATTTAACGAATAAATATATAACTACTAATACGTTAAAACATATACCGAAACTCATTGTTTAGTTCTGCATTTGTACTACGATTCTATCATTTTTAAATTAGAGAAAAGGCGGAAGAAAAAACATACCAACCAACTTGAAAGTATGAGTAACTTATGACACCTAATAAAATTAATAATTTACACGCGATTTTATTTAATTCTATCTTACAATAGATAGTTTATTTGTCTCATAAATATTAAAATATCGATATAATCGAATCTGAAAATAAAAATATTTTAAATGTCAATTAGTTAATAACGTTGGCAATTTAGCATAGTGCCGAATCTCGGATACGATATTTTAAATAAATAAAGTTAACGTTAATATACTTAAAATTTAATATCGCTATCGAACGTTGCGTATAAAAATGAAGGAAATCGACGAGATATTAATTATTTTTAATGGTGTTCTTACATGTGATAACTGCAGCGAGTAGTCGCACCGCTGCATACGGAGGAATACAACCGTGCCAAACTGGTTGCAAGATGTATTGTGCGAACGTTAGGGCCGTAATCGCGTTTCCAGTTGGGACCAGGATGAATAATGCGACCCAGAGGTACAAAAACGCGGGAAGGGGTCCAAAAGCGTCGCTAATATACGCATAATCGCCACCGGACTTCGGAATCATCGTACCTGAAAATTTATATATTTTTGAAAAGATGAAAAGAAAAGAAAGAAAGAAAAATGCAGTTAACAAGAGAATACATTTATACAGTAGGCGAATAAATGATAGCACACTCTGTGATTTTCAGTCCTTCTCGGGTAACCTAAAAGAGATATATCACGGAAAAAAAAATCGTTGGATTACAAATCAAATTTATAGGGAAAGGTTACTACCATTCAAAGTCGTTGATAAAGATATTGAAATAAGTTACTACCTTTGGAATATTTCCGTAAAAATAGCAAAAATCGATCATTTTTATTTACCTATTTCATAAATCTAAGACTATCAGCAGTGTTTGTTGCGAAATTCGGATTCGGTACATAAAAATATACGAGTCTTTTCATTCTCAAAAAACAAAATCTAGTTGATCTGGTTTTTGACGCCTGCGTTATCATTTTTCACATAAAATCAAATTTATTGAAAATATGTGTAAGTTGTAGTTAATATTTCTCTGTATTATTAAGCATACATTGTACGAGTACATATGTAACGTATCTATACATCGCATTAGTTTCAAGAAACACTAAAAGCTACAAGGCGTGCTATTATTTTGTCATGTACTGTACATACTTTGTTTAATTGAAATTAGTTTACATCGAACTTCGTGTTTTATTTTATTATTTATATTTTATACGTATACATAATATACACGACACACGCAAAAGGTGTTTCCTTGAATTGGAACAATGGAATATTTCGTAAGGGATTGAATTTATCGAAATAACGGTCTTACGATAATTGTTTGAAGGGAAATATCGTGTGGTGCATATTATCTTTTGTAGTCACCCTTACGTGATGGAGGAAATTTCAAAGCGAAATTGGCTTTTTTAAACGAAATTATATACAATTCAAATGATTAAGAATTCAAATGACATAAGAGACTAGTTAAATGGAAGTAATTATTATTCTTAAGAAATCAGACAAACGCGAGATCGTCAGTTGACGCCTATTCGACGACTTGTTTCGTCATTGTAGATCTTCGCTTTCTCTATTTACAGTAATATCCTTTTAAAGATCAATTTCGCAGATAATATCGTAAATATAAAGCAACGTTACGTGACAATCTATGAAGCACAAAGGCGAATAAAAAAATTTGTCTTTGAAATTTCCGTCTCGATAACTAGCATTCGAGATACCAAAAAATAATGCACACCATACGATGTCCTGCTTCGAGTCAAATAACTTTCGACAAAACTTTTTCTGCAATAGGTTCAATTCCTTCCGAGATATTCCATCGTTTTCAATTAACACTTGTTTTCTTCGAATCATTCATATTTTTAACGTGTTTTCCTTACACGTTATTCATTATTATTTCGTTTTGTCGATAAATCTGAATTAAAACTGAAAAGAATGTCTTTCACTTTTATTTTTAAAGGAAAATAAATTAATATATTTTATCATAAATTAAGATATTTGAATTTGTCATTTATAACGCGAAACTAAAGAATTCGTGCGAATACGCGTGTAATAAATATTTATATACATGTATGTGTACATCATATATATGCATGAAATAATATATTTTTATAAGTCTAAATATACAGATTAGATTTGTGCGTTGATTTCTCGGAAAATTTCCAGGTTTAACGGAACGTGGAGAACATAAGATATCGTCTATAGAATGCTTTGTAACACGAGATTACTTCTTCGATAATGACTGCAAGACTCAGACACAACGAGTAAAATTTACATAAATATTTATCTCTGAATTAACTCGATTTCTTAGTTATAGCTATTTCTATACTCTAATAACATGCAGCTGTCTCTGTGAACAAGACGTGCCTGGAACGGTCACCTTCTGCTTCAACGTATAGAGTATAGAATACGTCTACAGTGGTCATGTTTATGATTTTTCAATCATTCAGAAGTTTCAACTACTCCTTTAGGTTTTATATAAAAGCAATTTAATAATCTCAATTACGATATTAACGAATAAAAATAAACACCGAATAACGAGCTTCTTTATATCGATATCTTGAAATACGGAATATAAATTTTAATATGGTAAAAATGCATCTCGATATCAGAACTCCCAGTCAATCAAAAATAAAAAAATATAGAACTGTTTTTGGCAAAATTAATTGATTTTTATCGATATAGGAATCGATATCTTTAAAGCAATTTTTTCAAATAGAAAATACAAATTTTTATAGATTTTAACACTGGGATTCTTCGATCGGTCAAAATGATCGATATCAGATTTTTTTATTGTATCAGATTTTTGTTAAGCTATAAATGTAGAACTAAATTTGACAGAATTAATATTGACTTTTATCGAGGTAAAAATGTAATTATATACATTTAATTATTTTTATCGTTATTATTATTTATGTATACAACATTTAGATACACGTTAAAGGTCGATAATTCTAGCGTTAAAGATAATTTCATTTTCACACACGGTCAGAGACCCGGAGGGTGCAGTACACAATGCAACAATACGAGTAAGTACATAATGCTAGAATTATCGAGTTGCGATATAAATATAAATTTAAAAATAAAAATTAAAATGTTATAATACAAATAAATATTACTTGGAATAAACATTAAATTTACGTAATTGTATTTTTACCCGAATAAAAATCAATATTAATTTTGCGAAAAACAGTTGCATAATTTAGACAACTACGAAAACGAAAATCCGAAAGCAGTCGTTATATTTGAATGCTAACGCTTTCGTGATAATTTTGTTATAAAATATTATACGATTCTATGGAACTATTTATAATTTTCGCGAATTTTTTTGTGTCACGAATGCCAACGATTACGTAGCATGCAAAAACTGCGACAACATTTAGAGTATCCTTCGATTTCGAAAATACAAGGATTACATTGTTCCGTTTCGTTAATCGATGCATAAGAAACGAGTATATTTCGATATAATAGCTATAATAGGACGACAGAAAAAGGATCCCTGGGATGAATTTATTTCAAGGCAGTAGGAAACGAACCATAACAATTTCGTCAACTAAACTCGATAGACTTTTGCATCGGTGTTACTCAAACAAATACCACTCGAGCAATACCACTTCTGTGTTCGATGAAGCGTTGATAAACTTCGTATTTACTATTACCATTTTAACATTTTATTTTTCAAATAAAGTATTACATTCTAGGTTATTAAAATTTTGCAATATTACGGATTTTTGCAATTATCGGAAACAAGTTACATTTTTTGATAACGTTAACGTTGATTTTCGTTCGGATAGAAACGTGGTTACGTATACCTATTCATTTTCATTATACCACTTTAATTACTATTAACTCTGTATATTATACTTATGTATTTATTACGAGTCGATAATTCTGACGTTAATATGAAATTTTAATCAGAGATCAAAAATTTTACTTTCGTGCAAATAATTGTTTATCATCGTATTAAATATATGGAAACAAATATTATTTCGAAACATAAAAACATTTTTATGTTTTTCGAGGAGTACATTTTAGATTAAAAAATAACTTACGTTGTAAAAACGTTTGAATAATTTTTTATGTAAAATAAATGTGAATCGCGAAATCTTGAAATTAATCGAAATTCTCCGAAATTCAGGAAAATTGCGAATTTTGAAAATTCTCAGAAAATTGGAACAGAGAAAATATAAAATATAAAATCAAAGTCGAGTAAAGAATCGTTTGCAAGGGGCAGAGAGAGAATGTTCTTTATCTCAAATATTCGATATGAGATGCTTGGCGAATACTCGACGATCGATTTTTATTTTTAACGATAGAAGCAGATCAGCGATAGATAGCGATAAAAAAATATAGATCGAGCGTTAAAAAGTTTCAGATTTGAATTTTGAAATCTCGTGAAACTTCGAATCCGAGTTTCGAGTATTTAAAAGTTACGCTTCAATCCATTTCGAGAAATGGAATTAATGAGAATTAGAAATGGAAAATAACACGCAAATGGTATGGGAACGAAACATATTCCGAAACAATTTTATGCATTATGTATAGCTTAAACTTTGATATGTAATTGCAACTTTCTTTTCGCATATAAATATGAATACTTTCCGCTGTCTTACGCAATTTTTTTATCCGCAACGATGGAATAAGTAAGCAAGGAAAATATCCTATGATTTTTATCGAACTTATAAAATATACGGTACAACTGGTTTGCGAAAAAATTAGACTTGAATTTTAGAATATTTAAAATTTAGGACATTTAAAGATGTTTAAACACGCTTGAAATGCGCAAAACTATTAAATATGCTATACTTAATTATATCGTTAATCAAATTTCACATGAAATATTTATACGTTTCAAATTTTGTCTGATGGCATGGAAATAAAGAATAAATTCATCAGAATAAAGTTGCAACGCGAAACAATTTATTTAATTAAATTTTATATTAAATATCGCTTTACGTACGAAATGTTTCCTTTTATTATTTTTTAAAAATAATATATCTCTGCTTTAAATCGACAAAAATAATTTTAAAGGAAGAGTAGCTCGTTGGAATAAAACAGCAAGACCTGTTTCAAAGTATAGCGTTTGAAGAAGCATATGTAAATATTAGGATACTCTAACGTTCGTTTGTAGAAAACTGTTGGCAAAGATCGAGCTTTATTGTAGGCCAGGGTTCTTCAATGGCGGCCATTTAGCCTCTCAGCGAAATGTGAAAGGATTTGGGACACGTAAGCTTTACGAGCGTACCACGTTTATTTTGCTTAATTAACGAATTAACGAATTAATAGATAAATTGGAATGATCGAGAAATAAAACGATAGGCAGTTCAAATTTTATGACGATACGAAAAGAATAGGGAAGAAAGGCCATAAGCCAAAACATACTGAGAAACACTGTCGTAGATAAACGATCTTTCATCGGAATACAAGCGAAATTGGATTATAAAGTACCATCGACAGCGATGTTTGAAAAGATTATCGACGAATCGTAGAGAAAACGATATTTCGAATAAATCTATACGATTCTATAATTATATATTGCTTGGTACAGTTCGAG